TCACTTAGGCTTTTATATATATAGACTAGAGGCCCGGTGCACGGATTCCTGTACAAGTGGGGTCCCTCAGCCTGGCCTGCGCCCTCTCACAATCTGGGACTCCTCCGGGGATGTCAGATAGCCAGTTTCAGCCCGATCCCCGCAGGCCCGATCCAGACAGGAGGGAGCCCAATCCTGTGCATTGAGCGTCTGTCCCCTGGTGGTCAGTGCACATCATAGTGACCAGTTGACCGGCTGTTTGGTCACTTAGGCTTTTATATATATAGATAAACACCTTTGCAGCAACTGTCCATGCAGATGGCCTTGTTGGCTTTGGTTGTAATCAAAACATTCATAAAACCAAAACAATTTTGTAATGAGAGTTCAAGGTGAACATAGAAAACAAAAACAAAAACAACAGCTTACTTTTCAAGTGACTCCAAGCAGGTAAATGTTGGTACAATACTACATTTTTATCCATCTGGGTTTAGATTCTAGCCTTTGCCTCATCAACCTGGGATCCTCAAGGAGGAATCCTCCCAATGAAGCCTGTGGATGGAGAAGGACTCACACAGGTGTTTCTAATGAAATCAATAGCACACCAGTCACATATGGGAGCTCCAGGAACACTTAGCACTGTACAATTTAATTCATTTAGAAAGTTATTCTTAGATTACAGCAATGTAATTTGATTGATTTATGACAGGAAGGGTTTGGTCTCAGATATCTTATACTTAACCAGAGGCCTGGTGCACGAATTCTTGCATGGGTGGGGTCCCTCGGCCTGGCTGGGGATCGGGGCTGTCTTGCCCAGTCTGGGGAGAGGGACTGTTGGAGGTTGGCCGGCCATGGGAGGTTGGCTGTGGGAGCGCACTGACCACCAGGGGGCAGCTCCTGCATTGAACGTCTGCCCGCTGGTGGTCAGTGCACATTATAGTAACCGGTCTACCGGTCGTTCAGTCGACGGGACGTAACAGTTGCTTAGGCTTTTATATATATAGATTATGGTAGATTTTGTTGATGCTGATGCTGTTAACTTATCATGAACTACATATATGAGGTTGATCCATTTCCAGTTGTTTGTGTGCTTCTCCTCTGGGAAAGCTCAGTCTTGAAGCTGGTGATGTTATTTGCTTCTGTGGAATGGTTTTTGTTTTTCTTTTCTGTTTGTTTTGTTTGGATTGGATTTGGGCTGTCCTTCTGTTACTTTATAATCTTTGGGTTTTTCTGGTATGTTAATGGCTCCATGCCTTTAAAATACAGTGTAATTTGTGAGAAATTCTATGAAGTAGCCACAAAAACCTCAAGAAGAAGAAATTAAGTACCAAACTGCCTTTGTGTGTGAGGCGAATTGGATTTACTTTCATAAATGCCCTCTACGAGTGACCCAGGAGGAGATTAATTACTTTGTCTAGAGGTGTATCATTCTCAAGGAAACAGTCAAATCCAAGACTTTGTTTTAATTTTGCCTTAGTTCAGGGGATCATTTAAAATCAACAAAGAAATCCTGAATCCTAAAATACTGGACACGAGAATAAATAGAAGATATAACCCTTAGCTTAAAGAGTATGTCCTTTAATTGAGGAGATAGAACATCTGGGAAAAAAACAGATATGTAGTAAGATATAATGAAAAGGCTTTCAGTAAGTATCAAAATCACAATGCTAAGTAATCACTTTACCTTTCTGTTCCTGGTTACAACTGTGAAAACAAAGACATTTGTATACTATACAGGTATATTAAGTATCAGGTTCTTAAAAATGTAAAATGCTCAGGCAAATGAAATTGAAATTATTTAATATAAAAATTAATAATAAAGAATCAATAATTTACAAATGCCAAAATTCTGTATTAAAGTTCTTTATTCTAAAGAAATTAGGATTTTGAACATCATCCTAAGGACTAGCAAAGAAGACCTATTTTCCTTGGTGCTTTTCCATCAATAATGTCAATAGTACACATTTTCAAAGGTACAGACAACTCTTTGTTACTCTTAACAGCATACTCTGAAGTCCTTATGTCATTGTGGTTATATGCACCTCTTCCCTCAGAGAAAGCTGACCCCATCTTGAGATGTAGAAGGTGTACTTAGTCTAAAAGGGATCTCACTTCCTTTGTTAGTGATTGGTTCAGTAACAAGCTTGTGACTCAACTCAGAGTAAAGAAAAGTATGAAGATGCCATCTTGGGAGCTTCTGGGAAACACATCCTGCTTTAAAAAGCTGCAAAATAGAAGAGCTTCCTTTGTTCTGGATTTTTTTATGTCCAGGAAACTCCTATGGCCATGTTACTATCCATGCATGAAGTCAACACAAAGAATTGCAGATCACAGCTGGAAAAACTATGAATCTCTATAACACCACACTGAGCTACGGACTCAACTACCCTTTAGGGCAGTAACCAGAGTCCTACCACTGGTCTTCCTGTTACATGAGAAAGTAAATTTTCTTAGCCAGTTTGAGTCATGATGTTTGTTACTTTTAGATGAAAACACTCTAACTGATATACATATCACAATAACATTTATTTAGTTCTTATTAGGGATAAGACCCCATGCTAAACACTTTATATATGACATCTCATTTTATACTCAAAATGTTATAATTTAGAGATGAGGACACAAAGGCCCAAAATTAAGTGACTTTTCCCATGTAACACAGAGTTGTGTTTAGAACCCAGGCAATCTGCCTCCACGGCCCATATATTTTTTAACAAAACATTATTTTGAGGAGTATTTTAACAATCCCTTACTGGAACCAAGCAAAAATACACTTTCTTTAAAAATCCACTAATGGATTAAGTATATAATAGAGTATTACACTATTCTCCAACTTTCTGTCCATGTCACAAGTATGACCAGCCAAAAGTTTGTTTAGATGCCCTATTTCTGTCAGACACTCATGAACTTCCCTGAAAGATGAGA